AGGCACTCCTCAGAAGGAAGGTTGGGCAATCTACTTCCATAGTGATACTGCCTCAGAAACCCAAGGAGGGGTCGCTATGAGTCGGGTCTGACTTGACAGCACATAACAACAACAATAACAACAATCTTCATGGAAGCATACTGCCACATGTTTTTCCCGTGGAGAAGCTGATGGGCTGGAACTACTGACTGTTCAGTTAACAGCCTTACACTAAACCACTGCACTCCCAGGATTCCTTAATGGCCTGCTAGTGGGGCTTATTTATACTGTTAATTACCTTTATTTGTTAATGATTGCATCTAAAGACTGAAGTTCTAGCAGGTGACTCAGATGACTGCCCTGAGAAACAGTTACTGGTAATTACGCAATAGATGCTTCAAGCAAGACAGATTATTTACAGGATATGAAGCATCAATAGATCAACTGAGAACCCAAGCCTAGGCTGAGCTTAAGAGCAATTACATTGTGTAAATAACATATTTATACCTTAAATACTGTTATTTTTCAGTGGTATCCTATGCTAGTATATGTATGTTAAGGTGAAAAACTAGGACCTATATTAATGGATTTGAAAATGGGCTTCAAACTGATTCATTACAGTTTGACCTCCTGCTGAGACTTTATATTCCACCCCAGTCATACTGAATCATAATCTAAATGTATGTATACATAAGAATCACCTGGGGGTCTTGTTAAAAATGTAGATTCTGATTCAATATATCTGGGGCATAAGTGCAAATTCACAGCAGGGGGTAAAACTGGATTGAGCCAGTTCCAAGCCCTGATTTGAAATGTATTATTGATTTGTAGTTCTTAAATCTGGGTGGGGTGCACAGTAAGATTCACCTGTTTAGGATTTACCTGTTTAGGATTTAAATGATAGATTCCTGGGCTCTGCCTGAAAACTTTAACTCAAAATTTCTGTGATAGGGGCTGGGACTTTGTGTTTAAAATAAATCTCCACTATTATGTAGTCACTCTAGCATCAATTTAGTCTTTTTAGGGTAACTACTGCCTAATAATATACCATTCTTATTAATTTATTCATCTTAACATGGAAGTGGTATTTGATAATACAGTAGCATTCAATTATACTGGATTATGATTTATCATTTAAAATTTAGTCTATATTATCCTAAATTAAAAAGAACTGTGAAGCTTTATATTGTCACTGATACCCTAACATATCTGTTAAATTAGATTTTGAATGGCATTAAAGTGAAGACAGATTTGGGAAAAATGTATGCGCCAATATTTGAAGTACATCTACATTTGAGGACTCCTGCTCAGATTTATTCTTCAGAAAACTCTGAGGAAAACATTTATGAATATGACAGATCCCCTAGGAAATCTATCGTATATTTTGAAGGAGATGACCTGTCAGATGATAGTGAAGAACTGCCCACAAAAGTTGAGAAAACAAAAAAACTTAGTTACAATCTTGAAGGACGTCTTTTGGGTAAGATGAGTAAGACTAGTAAGATTGGAGAGAACAGTAACCAGTTGAGAAATAACAAGTGAGAGAGATTTTTAATAGCTGGTGTATTATTAAGTTATAATTTTTAAAATATTTAAGATAAACAATGCTCAAAGTGAGCATAAACCTACTCACAGGCCGTTTGTGGTGCATGGAAGTAATAACACCATTATTCATGCTCATTTAAACCCACACACAATTTCTTACTGAGGGAGCCTGAAGACCCCCTTCATCAGGATGAATAGCACCTGGGATGCTTGTTAAAAATGCAGACTCTTGGACTTATCTCTGATGTCCTTAGTCAGAATCTCAGGGTAGGGTTTACTGCCTGAATATTGCCTTTCAAGTAACCTTTCCAGTTTATTCTTAATGAAGTTTAGGAAAGGCTGGCATATATCTCCTTATCATTTTGCTGATATAATATCAATCAATTTTTTATTCTCTCTTTCTTACAATGGATTCTAATAGATATGGAAATTGCAACGGAGTCTGAGATTAAATGCACATATGAAGAGTAAGTATTAGCGGTTTGTGAAATTACAAGTAATTGTATTTTATGTTAATTACTACAGTCATCTGAAATTATGCTTTATTATTTTCTCTCAGAGTTTCAGAATTCTCTGCAAATCTCTTTATAGTTCCAAACAGACTGATGTTTTCAATAAAAATTCAAAATATGGTGACTAATATCGAGAAATGTATAAGTAAGTATTGTTAAAGTATAGTTATATGTATTGTTTATTTGGCAGTATTTTCATAATTTTAGGCATCTAATACTTTTGCCCATGATTATGACTGACAAACACATTTTGGTATATTAGGAGATCATAAATAAATATTCCTTGGAATCGAACAATGTGCATTTGTAATTATTTAAGGATGAATGAATTGCACAAATAGCCATAGAATGCATAAAATATGGGAATGAGGAAAATAGTTCAAGCTTGGATTTTTTCAATAATGTACTACAGAATTTTATGATACTATACAGCAAATCAACTCAACAGCAAATAAGCAGTATCCTTTATGTCATAGCATAACAAAGATATGTTTCCACCCTTAAATAGACTTACAATAATTTTTTCCTGCTTTGTGTCCACAGTCTGAAACCACATGGAAATTACAAGCCTAAGCAAAAATATGTATCTCTTTCCCACAAGTGAAGTATTAAGTATCTCTTAACAGCATAGAACCCTGGGCAGCCCTTTAAACTGTGTCTCTCTAGTGGTATAATCCAGCTTTGCTGAGTACAGAGAACTCTCTGTCCAGCCTGAGCTGATATCCAATATATTATTTGATTTATTTTTTCATGCCCCAGAAATTCAGCCTTTTTTCCTGTATTTTATAATTACTACTAATTAAGTTTCTTCTTCCCCAAAAACTCTAATTAGCACATCCTTAGAAATCTCAATTTTATTTATATTTCTTATCATTATGATGAAAAATGCATGAAAACATGGGTTTGTTTTAAAAATCAAGAGCTACCATGTTGTTGTTGTTGTCATGTGCCGTCGAGTCAGACCCAACTCATAACGACCTCTCCTTGGGTTTCCAAGGCAGTATCACTGTGGAAGTAGATTGCCCCCTCTTCCTTCCGAGGAGTGGCTGGTGGGTTTGAACTGCCAGCCTTCTGGTTAGCAGTCAAGTGCCTTAGGCACTATGCTACCAGAGCTCCCATAGTTTTTATAATTCTTAGCTTTAGTCCATTTGAAGCAGTTTGGTAGGAGTTTATTGCTGAGTAACAATCCAGAGTGTCTTGCAACACTATAGAAGTAAGCTCTTCTTCCATGACAGCTATGGTCTCTTGTTAGGATGACTCTCCCTTCCCGCCTTCATATTTATCTGTGCGTTTGTTCTATTGCCTTCTAGCTTCAATATGGTAGACGAGGAGTCTGATGCTACTCTGACTTGCTTTCCTTTAAATTTTCTTCTTAAAAAAAAAAAAAAAACTGCTTAACTACTGTACCACCAGGGCTCCTATATTTTCTTTTCTTTTTAACTTTTTTGTTCTGATTCGGATGAAGGTTTACAGAACAAATCAGTTTTCCATTCAACAATTCATGCACATTTTGTTTCATGCCATTGATTAAAATCCTAACAATGTGACACCACTCATCCCAAGTCTTCCCTTTGTTTCTCATTCCCATTCTCCCGTCTTTCCTATCTCTTCCTGCATCTAAACTTCATCCTTGGGCAAATGCTACCCTTTTGATCTCAAATGGTATATTGTTCTGAGGACTGTGAACCTCCTTAGTGTTACTGTTCAACTTATAGATCTGTCCATTGTTAGGCTGAAAGTTGAGTTATGGGTGAGTTCAGTTCCAGGCTTAATGGGTAACTAATTGACATAGTCTCAGGGTTCCACCAGTCTCTATGTGACCAGTGAGCCAGGTCTTTTTTTCTGATTTTCAGTTTTGTTCCACACTTTTCTCCCACTCTATCCAGGACTTTTTAATATGATACCTCTCAGAGCAGTCAGTTGTGGTAGCTGGGCACCATCTAGTTTTTCAGGTCTCAGGGTCATGAAGGCTGAGGTTCACATCGTCCATTAGTCCTTTGGACTAATGATTTCCATGTTACTTTGATTTTCTTCACTCTTCTTTGTTCCATACAGGGAGAGACCAATTGTTGTACCTTACATGGCCACTCATAAGCTTTAAGAACCTAATTGCTACTCACCAAAGTAGGATGTAGAACTTTGTCCTTGTGGACTATGTTGTATCAGTTGACCTTGATGTCCTCCAAGACTATAGTCCTGATCCCTCAGGTCTGGCAACTCATTCCCACAAGGTATTTGATTATGGCTAAGAAGTTTTCATAACTTTATCCGCTCTATGCTCTGCTATAGTCATGGATATATTTGCAGCATATATAAATGCATATGTAGAAAAATCTTCTGTCAAGCCTGCATGTATTCGTGGGTACAGTTCCATTTACCTTTGACCCCTGTTCAGCTGGAGTGTCTATTTTTGTATCCACTTGTAGCTTATTGTTATTACTATATCATATGATTTTGTATACAGTAGTATTTACCTCTGTTACTTTTAACTCTTGTGCTTCTCCCAGTGTCTTATGCCTTGATCATTTTATGCTGACCTCCCCCTTATTGTATTTTACCTTCCTCTTCACCCAAGTTATGTGTAAACCCTGTAGTTAGTGATTTTCCCTTCTTTCCCCTCCCACTTATGGTAACCATTAAAGAATATTTCTTTCTGTGTGAAAACTTTTGCTTCACTTTTTGTAATAATTGTCCTCAGCATAATGTCTCCCAAGTTCATCCATGTTATGAGGTGTTTTGCAGATTCATCATTACCCTTTAATGTTGTGTAATATTCCATTCTGTGTATGTTACCATAATTTGCTTATCCATTCACCTGATGATGGGCGTTCAGGTTGTTTTCATCTTTTTGCTATTGTGAATAGTGTGTCAATGAGCATGACTGTGCATATATGTGTGTCACAGTTCTTATTTCTGTAGGTTATATACCTAGTAGTGGGATTTCTGGATCGTATGGTATTTGTATTTCCAACTTTTTAAGGAAGTGCTGGGGTTGTGAGGATGGCACAGGACGAAGCACTGTTTCATTCTGTTGTACATAGGGTCAGTATGAGTGGGAGATGATTTGACGGCACCTAACAACAGTGGGTCATGTCCACAGCAATTATTACATGGTGTTCTAGTGCTCTTACACCTTACACACTTATTAATTGAAATTCTTCTGTAAGGAATAGTTGTCCCTTCTCCTCCATTTATTTATTTATTTAGTTTTATATTGATATGGACTATCTATCTACCTATCTATAAAATAAATAAACATTTAAATCACCTCATCATTTTAACTACCCTCAATAACAACTGTTTATTTTCATTTTGCATTTTTACATTAATATGTATATATTAGTCAGATTTATATTTAAATATTTTATTATCACTTAACTTTATATCATAGACATTTTCTACATTGCTGCATATATTTCATAAGCATCACTTAAATGACTATATAATATTCTGTCACATTGATTTCCCAAAATACGTTTAACCATTAACATAATGTTTAACATGTTGGTTATTCATTACTATAAATATTGCTGCAATTAACATTATCTGAAACATAGCTTGTAACTTCTATTGAATCTTTTGTTACAATAATTCTATAGAAGTGAAATTATTGAAACAAAAGCCTTTCACTTATTGATTTGTAGAACTTCTATTGGATTAGGAAAATTTGCCTTTTGTCTTTCATAGGAATTAAAAAAAAAAAAAATTCCCAGTAGGGTGTTTTTCTTAATTTTATTGTATTTTTCCCCATGAAGAAATTTTATTTTTTTATTTATCACTTACCATATCCCAGTATGTATTTCATGTTAGGAGGTCCCTGGGTGACACAAGTGTTTTGCACTAGGCTACTGCTGAAAGACTGGTCATTCTAACTTACCCAGTGTCACCATTGAATAAAGGCCTAGAAATTTGCTTCTGTGAAGATTAAATGCAATGCAACGCACTGCTGTTGAGTCAGATCTGACTCATAGTGACCCCTCCTTGGGTTTCCGAGGCAGTATCACTACTGAAGTAGATAGCCCAAACTTCTTTCCAAGGAGTGGCTGGTGGGTTTGAACTGCCAGCCTTCTGAGGGAAACCCTCTGTAGCAGTTCTACTCTGTAACACTTGATATAGGCTTGGGTTGGAATGAACCTGATGGCGATGAGTTTAGTTTCTTTCTTTATTTCACTTTATTTCCATTCAGTTGATCTTTCTTTAACTTATGTACCATTTCTATGCTGTTTCAATCATCATATAGCTTTGTATCTATTATCAATTTAGCATTCATTATTACAGCCTTTTTTTTTCTTCCCAGAAATGTCCTGCATTCATTGATATTTATTTGAGTCTTTGGATTATAATACAGTATTATTGTGTTTGTTTGGTTGCTCAAGTTGTTCCAGCTTTGTTTCAGAAAAGCAATTCTTTCAGATTGGTTTCTGTATCCATCATTTTTTTTTTTGTGAACACCATCTTCGTTTCAGGCACCACAAGATACTTCAGGCTTACCTTGTATTTTCCTTGTTCCAGATCTGGAATCTACCATTTCTCCAAGGAACCTTGGTTCCTTTAATTTTAGAATAAAATTTAGAAACTAACATCTGGGTTAGATCTTTTTTTCTTTTTTTTTTTAATTGTGATTTGGGTGAAAATTTACAGAGCAAATTCACTTTCCATACAGCAGTTCACATACACTTTGTCTCATGACATTG